GCCTCAATTTCCCCCTGCGTGTGCGCCGCCGCCACGAGCGCCGCGCCGCCGGCCGCGCGGGCGGCGGCGGGCGGGGGCGCGGGCGCGTCGGCGGCGCACTCGCCGAACAGGGCGCAGGCCAGTTGGTCTGGGAGGGGCGACCCGAGCGCCTCGCACGCGTCGGCCTGCCACCCTTGATGCGTGCGGGCCGGCGGCGCCGGAGGGGGTGGGGACGCCTCTGTCGCGCTGCTGGCTGGGGCTGGCCAGGGCCCGAGGGCGGCCGGCAGGGCGGTGGCTGTGGCTGTGCTGCTGTCGAGCTGTGCTTGTGGCTGCGCAGGCTGCTGCAGCCACTGCTGTAAGCCTGCGCCATCTGGCAGCGCGTGCGGCGGTTCGCGCTGCCACTGCTGCTCATGGAGCGGCTGCTTCTGGCCCTGCTGCTGCTGCTGCTGCTGCTGCTGCTGCTGCTGCTGCTGCTGCTGCTGCTGCTGCTGCTGGCGCTGCCTCCACGCCGTGCCGCTCTGCAGCTGGCTGCGCAGCTCTGCCGCCAGGTCAGCAAGGCTGGTGGGCACAGACGGACGGCGCCACTGCTGCTGCTGCTGCTGCTGTTGCTGCTCCTCGCCTCCACTGCGCGCCGTCGCTCCCGAGCGACCGCCGGCCTCTGCGGGCACGCCCTCGCCGCTCGGCGCCGAACCGGGCAGGGAGGTGTCTAGCTCTTGGATCGGCAGCAGCAGAGACCCCAGCGATCCCAGGGATGTGAACGAGCCCACAGAAGCTGGGATGAAGCTGCCGCCCAGGCCAGACCCAGCGATGGTGCCGCAAGCGCCTACTCCGGGGCCCATGGCAGCTGTTGCGCCGGCCGGGTAGTGGATGAGAAGCTGCGTCGTCATGTGCGCCAGCACGCGCCGCGTCTCCTCGCTCGGCTGCGCCGCGGCGCCCCAGGCATGCTGCTGGGCGCCGCCCTCCGCTGAGGCGACGGGCAGCGGCGGCGCCGCTGCGGGCAGCACCGCGAGGGCCGCTTGCAGCAGCTGCGTGTCTGCGTCTGCCGCGTCCAGGCCTTGCAGGGGGGGCATGTCGTCAAACAGCCAGGCGAGGTTGTCTGTGCTGACCCTGCCGGGCAGGCGCTGTTGCTGCTGCTGCAGCGGCAGCTCGGCCAGCGGGTCCCGCGGCTGAAACAGAGCCGGTGATCCGATGTCCAAGGCGCCCCTGGGGGAAGGGTTGGAGGGCAGGCGTCGCGCCGAGTGTCTTAACACATTGTGTGGGGTTTCGGGTGGGTGGGTGGCCGGCAGTGCAACAGACACACAACCTTGGACACGTCAACCGCCGCGGCATGCAGGCCTGGGGGACCCTGGGGCGTTGGTCCTCGCGAAGCGCCGAGGGGCGGGCAAAGCGCACGCACCCCAGGAGATTCAGGGTGGCCTGGTGATTGGCGCCAGTCAGGGTGCGTCCGACGCCGCGCAACGTGGAGCGGCGTGCAGTGCCGGTGCTGCGCGCCGGCTCAACCCCCACGGCTTCTGCGGCGCTCGTGAGCCTCGCAGGCAAAGGCCGCCGCTGCTGCTGCTGCTGCTGCTGCTGCTGCTGGAGGGCAGCTGTCTGCGGAGAGGAGCTCTCGGGCCGCTCACAGGCGCCCAACTGCTGCTCCGGCGGCGTCCCGCTTCGCCGCCTCGCGTGCGCCTCGCGCGCGCGCCGCTGCTGCGCAGCGGGCAACGCCTCTTGGGCGTGCTGCGCGCCGTCGCCGCTGAGCCTGCGCGCGTGCACGCTGTGCGCCTGCAGCCGCGCGCGCGCCGCTGCATCAACCAACAGCTGCAGGGGCCGCGCCTCGACGTCCTCGACGCGCGCGTCGCGCGCTTCGCCTGCAGCAGCGACTGCCGAGGGCCGGCGCTTGGCGCCGGCGCCGCCACTGCAGTCCGGCACCGCAGTGCCGGCACTTCCGGCCGGGTCATCTCCTAAGGATGCATCAGCACCACCTTGGCGCCCAGAGCTCATCGCGCGTCGCTCCGGTGACGGCGGTTGGCGTCGCTGCCCCTGCTGCCCCTGCACTCCCGCACCCCTGCGTGGAAAGGTGCCTACATTCAGATTGCAGAACACGTCAAGCTCCGTTCAGAGCGACCAAGGGCGTTATGCTGCACGATCGAACGCGTTCCGGGAAAAGCCGCACTGCACGGCGTCAGCGTGGCGCGTGTTGTCAGGAATCAAATTGATTTCATAAGAAAGAGACAACTTGCATGGTGCAAGCTAAGCGCTCAACTGCCCTCATACATTCGGCTGGTCCTATGTGAGCTGTTGCCAAGCTGCCAGGTGGCAGTGCCGAGGCCACGGCCTCACCTTCTCGACATAAGGGCACCCCTAGCCAGCTTGGAAGGCGTGCAGTGCCCCCAAATGTAAAAAACATTAGCATGCATTTGTCATGTGTTGAGCGGTCGGGGAGGAGGTGGACGCGCCACACTGGTGAATGGCTGACCAAGGGCTGCAGCATAGGACCGAGGCTGCGACCTAGGGGCGTCAGAAACCTAGGGTACACCAGCAAAACCACGGCGTGTGTGCGCAGGTCCTCACGCCCTTTCTTGATCTTGATAGGGATCCCAAGTGCAACTGCGAGACTCGAAAACAGCACTTGTTACAATTGGTGGAGGCCTATGTAGAGGAGGGGCGGGGTTCCTCAGTGCTATAACAGGAGACAAGGGCGAAGGAGCTGCGAAACACACAGGTCTGCCGTACTCAATACGATATATACCGTCCTCAACACCCACACCAAGCAAGTGAAAGCGGCGCCCCTGGCGAATGCACTGCGCTGCGCGCCGCGCGTGAGCGTGGCGCGGACAGCAGGGCAAGCACACACGGAATAAGAGGCAAGGTGTGTGGGCAGGCAGAAGCTGCTACGTATCTGCCCGGGAGCCCAAAACTTTCGCGGCAAGACCTGCCACATTGACGAACACGCTAGCTAATGGCAGCTGTTTAGGCAGCTTTCAGGCAGGCACAGGTCATCCAGGGAGGCAGATGCGATGTCGCAAGAACAAAACGCATGATGTCAGCGAGAAAGAAGACGTGACAGCTGGTCAAAAGAGGGTCATGGTGTTGCTTCTTATGGTCATGCGTGTGTCAAAAACACCCCAGCGCGTTGTACCGTCTGCCTGCTCAACAGGGTCATGCACTCTTAAGGCGGGCCCAGCAGAGGGGCTGCACGTGTGCGTTCAGAGGTCGTCCCCACTGTCTGTTTCCACGGAAGCCTGAGGGGTGGCCAGGCCAGACTGGGGCCGGAGCACAATAAGCAGACATAAGGCAATATACCATGCCCAAAACTAGGCCGTGATGCTCCGCTCGCCACCGCCGGAACAGTGAAGTGAGGGCCGCCGCGGCGCCGCTGAAGCTAGCGGCGCGCGTGGCCTGGGAGCGGGGCGGCGCGGCGTGACCGTATCAGGGAAGAGAAGATTTGTTTGTGGTGTCAGCACGCAAGGAGAGCAGGGCTCGGCTGCGGGTTGAGGGATCCGTTCGAAGGGGGGTGTTGTGGGGGCGCGCAGGAGCGCGCTCTGAGTGCAATCCTATGAAACGGTGCGCCGGCTGGGGCGCACGGGGCGCAAGGGGCCGCAGCGAGCCCCGCGCACAATGATGGCGGGCCCGCGGCAGGCGGCGCCGGAAACGCACACGCGCAGGGCGCGGGGCGCACGGCCCGCCTGGTGGCGGCGAAACAATGCGGCCGAAACGAGCAGACGCTGTGCAGGGCAGCAGAATCCCGGGCCCAAGTGCCGCAAAAATGGAGACTGGGCGCGGCGGCGCCGGGGCGCGGCGCCTGGAGGGCACCGCTTCGTGGTCGCACCCCGCAGTCGCAGGGGCGGCCGCTCGCGCGACAGGCACGCCCCTTGGCGCAAAATGCAGCCTGGTGGCGGCACACCTGCGCTGCCGTCGAGAGCCAGGGCACGGGTGCCGCTAGGTGCGCCGCAGGCAACACCACCAAGTTCTAAAAGGAGTGGTTGAGGGCGCGTCCGTCGCCACTGGGGCCGCCGCCGCCGCCGCCGCCGCCGAACCCGCCGCCCTCGGTCTCGCCCCGCGCCGTGTCGGCGGTGGCCACCCAGGGGTGCTGCAGCAGCTCAGTGGCGGTCGGGCGCTTGGAGGGGTCGACCTGCGGCGGCAGATTGAGCCAGGCGGTGCCAGGGCCGTAGGGAAGGGGCGCAGTATCTGATGCGGCCGCCTCGGAGTATTTATCCACACGCTGTATGCGCTTGTTGCACTACTGCAAGACGCACGCAGGCAGACAACACAAACCAGGGCAACACACACACACACACACACACACACATACACACACGAGCGCGCGCACACACACACACACACACAAACGCGCGCGCGGGCACACACACACACACACACGTGCGTGCGAAACCCCCACCTGCAGGCAGTGGTCCAGGAAGTCCTCTGCTGTGGCGCTGATGCCCGGCGGCCGCGGGGGGCCCTCGGTGCTGTGCGCGATGGCAAATATCGCACTCCAGTGGTTGTCCCGTTCTGGAGCGGCGCCGGGGGCGCAGCAAGCAAGGATGGGTTCAGAAGTACAAAGGAATAGCGAGATGGGTGAATTGCATGGAGGATGAAACATGGGGTTGAAGGCGTAGAAACGTGGATGATTGGGATTCGTGGGGACTGGTGTTCAAAATATGAAGATTTAGGGACAGAGCGGTTGGGGACAGGGGGTCCCAAGCTGCCACGCGTTTTGGGTGCAGGCAGGGGAATGACCGCTGCCATCCGGCGCCGCCGCCCCGCAATGCCCGCCCCCTTGTTCCCGCGCAGCTGCGGCGCAGCCCTCGCGCAGGCGCGGGCAGGCGCGCGCCCGCATCCGGCGCGGCCAGGGCGCACCTGGCCAGGGGTGGCTGCCTGTCAGCATCTCAATCACGGTGCACCCAAGGGACCAGATGTCCGCGCGGCGCCCTGCGGCGCACGAGGCGCAACAGGACGGCCAGGAAGGAGGGCATGGCACCAGGGGGCGCACGTTGGCGGTCGGAGCCCCGGGCCGTCGCTGGCGGGCAGGTCCGCCCTTTTTGGCCGCACAAGGCGGGGCGACGCCGGCCTCACGGACATGCACAAATTGCCAGCGGCCATCACGCCCCTCCTAAATGCCCCACCCGCCACAACGCAAACCAGGCACTCTCGACAAGCAAATCACCGATGCCATATGCGGGCTGCCATAGCACGGCCCACGCGCGTCCCCTGAGAGGCCCCTTTGCCAAAGCGCGACCCAGGCGCTTCAAACACCCAAAAAACAAACGAGCCAACGAGCCAGCCGGCGTCCGCAGCAGCGCCCGCGGTACCCACCGTATCCCGTCCCCTTTATGACCTCCGGCGCCATCCAGAACACGCTGCCCCTCATGCTCTTCATCGCGTCCGTCTTTGTCGCGTCGCGGTACGCCTTTGACGCGCCAAAGTCGGCGAGCTTCACGATGCCGTCGCGCGTGACCAGCACGTTGCCGCCCTTCACGTCCCTGTGGGGGCGCCGCGGGGCCCGGCAGGGCGGGCGCGCGGGGCGATTAGCGGTGCGGCGCCGGCATGCGGGTCGGGCGTGCGTTGCGCTGCATGCGTGCGCGTTTCGACTCGTCGCTCGTGCGCGAAGGCCCACACATTGTTGGAGGCACCCTCAACTCCCTCCGTCTCTGCCGCCGCGACTGCCTCTGAGGCGCGGAAAGGCGGGGCGCGCCCACCTGTGCACGATCTTGCAGCTGTGGAGGTACTCCAGCCCCAGCAGCAGCTGCCGCGTGTAGATGCGCGCCAGCTCCTCGCCAAAGCGGCCGAAGCGGTTGACCATGGACGCGATGCTGCCGCCTGGGGTTGGTGATGAGTAGGCAAGGTCCGCGGGGCGGCGGGTCAGGCCGGCGGAGGAGGGCGCGGCGGAGGGTCCCGGCTGAAAAGGAGGTGCGCACGCGAGCTGCGCCGCGCCGGCCGGCCGCCCCCGCCCGGCCTGCCGCGCCGCGGCCGGGCCCCGCGCGGATCAGCTGTGTGGGCCGCGGGCCGCCCGCGCGCGTCCGGCGCCCCCGGCACGGGTGTGCTCGGCCCACCTGGCACATACTCCAGGAAGATGAAGAGCGTGTTCTGGCGCGCCTCGAAGGTCGCATCGATGTAGCCCACCACGTGCTTGTGCTTCAGCTTCTTGTACAGGTCGAGCTCCTAGGGGGGACGGCGGGAGAGGGGGCGGCGCGCGGCGGGCGGGGCGTGAGGGTGCCTGTCGGCTTGGTGGCGTGGGTGCGCTGCAACGGGCGCGGCTGCGGCTGGAATCAGGCGGAAGATGATGGCACGTGCGCGCGCGCGCGCACACACACACACACACACACACACACAAATACACACACACGAGCCCACTCACTCTCTTGTTTTCTCTCAAGCACAAACACACACTCCCAGACACACTCCCACACTCCCTCCCTCCCCCCCCTCTCTCTCTCTCTCCCTCTCTCTCGCTCTCGGTGAAATACACACAGAGGCACTCGATCTTCACGCGTACACACTCACACGCACGCACGCACGCACATGCACACCCTCCCGCGCCTCAGCCCGCCCACCTTCACCAGGTCTGCCAGCTGCGCCGCCGCCTCCGCGCTGCCGCTGCGCCCCACCAGCTCCAGGGCCTTCACTGCCATGAGCTCACCCGTCATCTGATTGAGGCCTGCATACACCTTGCCGTAAGCACCCTCGCCTGGCGGTAGGATGAGTGCGCGTGTGTGTGTGTGTGTGGGGGGGGGTCACTTAGGGGCTTGCACTGATGAGGAGGAAAAACAACGTGTTGTAGTGTGTATGTGTGAAAGTGTATGAGGAGGCGACTCACGGAGACACTCCAAGAATGGTGTGTGTATGTGTGTGTGCGTGTGTGTTTGCGCAGGTCTCCACACAAAGCGCTTGCGCTTGCGCATGCACGGGTGCTATCATCAAGGCGCTGCCGACACAGCTGCAGCAGGCGGGACGCGCCTGCGCGCCGCCCCGCGCCGCGCCTCTGCGGCAACCCACCCAGCAGCTCGCCGCGCGTCCACTGCATCGCCCCTGTCCGCAGCTCCGTGGTGTGCCCAAACATCGCCGCCGCCCGCAGCCCGATCGCCTCCGCGCTCGCGCCGGCCACGACGTCCGCAAGCGCCTCGGCCGCGGCCTCCACCTTGGAGGGGTCCACCCTCGACGCGTCGCGCAGGCCGTCGCGGCCGAGCGGCAGGCGGAGGTCGTCGTTCGAGCTGCGGCGCTGCTGCCGCTGCTGCTGCGGCTGCTGCTGCTGCTGCACGTTGTCCTGGGCGAACGACGACAGGAACGACGCCGCGGCCGCCGCGGGGCCGCGGCCGTCCTCGCTGCTGCGCGCCTCGCGCGACTCTGCGCGCTCCATCGGCGGCGGCGGCGGCGCCGAGAAGCCGTCTGCGGCCGCCGCGGCGGCGGCCGCAGCCGCGAGGTCAAGGAGGGCTGAGATTCCATCCCCTTGGTCGTGGTCCCTCGAGTCATGGCGCTCCTGAGGGCTGACCACCTGCGGCTGCCCACCGGCCGCCGGCAGCGCAGACGCCTGGTCGCCCTGCTGCTGCTGCGGCCGCCGCTGCGACTGCTGGTGGTGGTGGTGCTGCTGCTGCTGCTTGCCGCGCGCGCCGCGCTGCTGCTGCGGCGCCTGCGGCGGCTGGTGCTGCTGCTGCCGCGCGACAGCCGGCTGCGCCTTGGCGCGGTGGCTGCGCGGGCCTTGCTCTTGCGCCTGCTGCTGCTGCTGCTGTTGATGTTGCTGCCCCTCCTCGCCGGCCAAAACGCCGCCCAGGAAGCTTCCAATCGAAGCCTCCCCGCTGCTCGCGATGTCCGACCCAAAACCAAACCTCGGCACACTGGGGATGTCATACTGCACCTGCTGGGGCGGCAGCTGCTGCGGGCGCCGCTGCGGGGTCGCGCCTGCCCCCGCCTCTGGCGCGGGCGGCGCGAACGCGGGCGCCGGGAGCAGCGAGCGCAGGTATACGTGCGCCGCCTCGCCGACGGCGTTGCCAGACGCAGCGGCGGCCGCCGCCTCCAGCGCCGCCGCGGCGTCATCAGCCACCGCCTCAAA